GAACAACCTGGTCACCAACGGCGCCACTTCACTGTCTGTAGATTCACTCTCGAAAAAGCGGCGTTTGTTAAACACTGGCAGCTTCTGGTTCACAAAGAATAGACATTCACGGTAGCCTCTCACGAGAGTAGAAAGGAAGCACACGAGCTCCATACGCACTTGCTTCCCTGTGTCTGGGCCCCACTCAACGATATCGCGTCGTTCTTCGTCTTGCTTCAGGGCATCATCAGTGTTGCTCTCCATTTCTCCAAATAAAGACGGGTGTAAGATAGTCTTAAGCCGGTGATGAAAAGCTGTTGTTAGCTTGTGAGGTAGCACAGGTCCGCCGGATTCCTGCAGTTGGATGGTCCCGCGATCGATGTCAACCACCACGAGATGTTCCGGCCGCCCGTTTTCCAGCAAACTTTGTAGCCAACTCGTGTGAATTCCCAGGATATACGGGAGCGGAGCCTGGAGATATTCGGAAAGCACTCGAGGTAAAATAGGCACGTACGGATGTTGCCAACGGAATGGGTAGATGAGTGCACAAAGTCCCTCAGCGACAGGACACAACAGAGACTGCTGTGTGGAGTGGATAAGTATCCGATACTCACAGAGAACTAGTGCCACGAGATAGATGATCGTCTTGATGTCAAAGAGCTGGAAAATCGGCTCGAGCGAATACACAAGTGGCTGGAAACCTTGCTGGATAGCGATGAAGCTTCTCGCTTTCGTAGGAGATGGCTGTGCTCCTTGGGCTGAGGCTGTACGTCGAAGTTCTGGTCGTGCTAGCAAAGCCTCTTTCATCGTGTAAATTGACGTCATGGACGGCACCATAAGGCGAACTTTGAGGCTGTGAACTGCAAATTGGACGCCAAAAACTCCTCGAATGGGTAGCGTGATCTCGTGACAAAGACTGCATAATTGCTTCCGTGTATTTGCGAGTCGAGTCTTGTCAGTATCCACTGTGATATTATTCTCCTTGTCTCCATTTGCAGCGATCCAAGCGTGAGCCACAGCGAGCAGACATATTGTAACCTCTTCAATCAGCGGAAGCCGCGTCAAAAACGCCACACACGTTGCATCCCACTCGTTCACTTCGGCCCCTCTACTTTTGGAGTGGCGATGATACACCACAAGACAAACGACGTAACATCTGCACAGACCATCGTCGCCACCCACCAGTACAAATGAAAATAATTTACTTGGTGGCCGATCAGCTTGAGTGACAATCTCCGGTCCACCAGGGAAGCAAAACCACTCAATTTTTGTCGGTAGAGGGAAATCCGGTCGATCTGTGAGTGGATACCGGAAACGCACCTGTGCCTCGTCCAAAGTCGCTGAGATATCGTCGTTAGCCGCAGTCCCCACCACGATTACATAGTCGATAATCCCAGTCTCAAGCGGAATCGCTGCAGCTTCAGACGTCTCTACTCGCAATTGTTTCGACACTGGTGATGCCGAGGAAATCTCCGTTGCTGGAGACGGCGGCAACATTGACGTGGGCGTCACACGTCTTCTTTCAGGACTTGTGGAAGCAGAAGCTGGTACCCCATTCGGCACAAAACACAACGAAACTCGTAGAGCTGTACGCAACGCGGACGAAGAATCCTTCCGTACGAGAGGGTACCACTGCTCTACTTCCTGTCCTTCTGGGAGCCGAGCTAGTGGCAAAGTTACTACCAGCAATATCGCAGCGATTTTTACGTTAGCTAAGAAAAAAAAATTATCGAGTTATTATCAGAATCTTCATTGACTTCCTTACCTTTTCCAATGAATCCTGCACATGAACTGATTTCGCCTTGAAGCGGTAAACGCGCGTGTGTTTTATTTCTCATTCGGTCTACACAGAAAAGCTCCAGCTCGTCCGTCGAGCTCACTTGTTCCACGTAAAATTCCTGCCATATCACACGTTTTTAGGCGCTGGGTATCGCTATTCAGCGATCTTTCTACTCACTTCATCCCAGCAAATCGCACTGGCCCAAGCGCGAGATTCCGTTGCGAAAAATCCCGAGTTTGATACCCGCAATAACACGCTGATCATGTCTGGCACAGCTTCATGCTGTAAAGTGGGGTGGTTCGAGGGTCTGCGTCCTGGAAAGGGTAGCCATGACGACGTCACTACGATGCCATTTTCAACAGCTTTCGGTGATGGCAAATCGATCGCCTGCAATACTATTGAAAACGCAAGTTAACAATTTAGCTATTTTCGACACGTCGGCGTGAGTTCGTACGTACCGCGAATGCGCAGCGCTCCGACAATCACCTGGCCTGGTTTGGCCGCAGCTTTCTCCGACGCGCTGGCCAGTGCAGCGCGTGTGGGGGATAAAGACGCCTGCCTGGAGGGTGCATCGATGACCATGGTGGCCGCACTCATGGAGCGGCCAGCAGCAGCGGGTAAAAGTAACTTGACGTTTGATTGACTTTACTTCAGCAAGAATCGAAACGCAGCATCGATTTACTGGCTAAATTTGAGTTTGATGCACCTTTAAAGTATTGTACTGAGACTCTGGTCCCCCTAAAATACGTTTTTATGCTTGCCAAGCGACACCCACGGTCTTCCTCAAAAAGGTGGGTATTTTAGAACACTGATACTCCTCGATACGCGAAGGAGTAACAAAATCTCAGCCCCTTTCTATTGGTTTAAAAAGGATGGGTTTGATTGAACCAATAATCCGTCTTTGGAACCCAATTAAAGATTATGAACCAATATTTAGACTGAATGGAGAAC